GCGTTTACATGTGACTGGGCAGTACACAAGAGGAGATTGGGCAATACTGCTACTGGCGTCCTATGGAGCAATTGGAGAAAGGAATGGGTCTTCGCTCTTCGCCATGGGTGCCCCTCTTTATCTGTTGCTCCCGCTGTGTCAACACCCCATTTGCTGATGGTCTGCGATAGAGAGTAGAAGGTGCGGAAGCTGCTTTAGGCACTCCATTCTTAGTACTCTCTCACCAGACTTTGCGAAAGCAAATTCAGTTTAGAGGATGTTTTCCTTAGATAAAGCGGCAGTTGAGGGAGCATAGCTCTCTCAACTGAGGCCTTTCCCCATCTTTGGATGGGATGCTACCATTTTTGGCTCACTTTGGTGAGGTTGCCCCTTAGAGCAAGGCCAAGGATTCGCTGCGGCCTCCCTAACTTGCTCTGCCCTGGGACAGTTATACAGTTAAGTCTTAAGGGTATTGAGCTGTGGACCTCGGACCACAGGCACTAAAGCTCTTGGTCACTAGATGCATTATCTGGCAATGTTCTGGCTACGGCTTAGTTCACTGGGGATTTCACCGCACAGTGGGCAGGCATTTGTTCAGTATGGTGCAGTGGGTATTGTTGTTCCCATAGTATCGACTGATGAAGCAATGTAGAGTTCCACTTCAAAAGGGAATGTCTAGGTTACGTATGTAACCCCGATTCCCTGAGAAAGCAAACGAGACGGTGTGTCGTGTTGCCATACTTTAGGCATGCCTCCACTTCTTCCTTCAGACTTTTGAAGCTGATAACGTCTTCTCTAGGTGCCCTTTTATAGTCAGACGACGCATGTGAGTCACCTGACTGCAGTAGCCAATCAAGACTGACATGTATTCACACATGCTTAAGACACCGGTTCACGCTGATCATTCCCATAGCGTTGACTGACAACGCAGCGTCTCGTTCCCCTTCTCAGGTAACGGGTTACAAACGTAACCTAGACACTCTGATTGGTCAGTCTATAGCAATGCTGTAGATCAGTCCGCTCATCTGTGTCACTGAAACCGGTGCTTCTTTTAAATCTCTCGCATCGCAGCATACAAACATTTTGATTCTAGAGAAAATTACCTCAGAGAGAACTTTAATATACTGTTATATTGTGCATTAATATGCACATTGGACTGGAATTTTTTATTTATTTTTTGCTCCGAGTGAGCGTTATATTTATTTTCATTTTTGTTTAAAGATCACATTTTGTTTAAATCAATTTAAATTGAAAACAAATTTAGGTGCACATTCAGCTATATATATATGGATTATGCTGCGGTTGGCTTCTTTTTTGTGGATTGGAATTACCATGTGGCCGTGCACATTTGTAGTTGGATTTTACCTCATATCTTACTCCACAGATTTAAAAGTGTGTTAATATAAGACAGATGTGCTTTTCCTCGGATGGGGAACCCAAGGGCTGTTTCTGTGCATACTCAATGTTCTTGGACTAATTGTTTTCTCTACTAAATTGTTTTTATAAAAGGATAAATGTCTAATGAATGCATAATACTTTCGTGTTTAATGGGTTATTTTCATTTTTCTAGTGATAAAATGTTTACAAGCTGTTTCATTTATAAAATTACATCAAAATTAAAAAATGTATCGAAACAAAATCAAATCTAAATTCATAAAGCGATCCCATAATGGGAAACCCTAAAAGAGGACAGAACCTTTTAAGGTTCTATATAGAAAATTCACTTTTAAGATATACAAACATTTATAATTTTGCAAGTCTCAAAATCAATTCCAGAATCCCTGAAAGTCTTGAAAATGCTAAAAAAAAATATTGAGAGTTTAACCTATGTGTAAATATTGATAAAAGAAACATAGTATGGAAAAATACATTTATGACATTCCACTTGCATCTAATGATAGAGAAAACAGCAGAAAGTAATTAATTTCAAGTAAGTCCTGGTCACCTCATTGCTGTTTGTGTAAATAAGCATGTTGGCCTCATGACCAAGCTAAGCCTGTTCTTATCACATTGCTTTGGAGATTTCCTATTAGTAGTGCTCCACCAAAACGTTCAGCATGCCTGATGAATTCTAACCGCAGAATTCCTCATGCAGCGCAGGTTTCTACAGCAAACAATCCTGAAATTCACCAATCTAAAGGCATTATAGAAAAATACAGGCTCTAAAAATTAACATAGAAATTAGACAAAGACCGATAAAATTCAACATTCGGAGCAAGAAATTATGATAAACCAAAACTGACAAAAAGGTGAACAAATATATTTTTTATGTAATGCATGAGTAATGCATGTCAAATCATATATGCACAGTTTCCAACATTCACATTTATGTGATTTTCATGATGTTGTGCCAAAGAGAACAGCATCATAGGGTCATCACTCATCTGTGACCAAGCAAAGATTTCATTACAAACAATTAAAGCAATTAAAGAATAATTTCATGCTTGTAAAGCTGTAATGAGAATCTGCAGTTATAACGAAAAAAATACACAGTTCTCATGTTACTGGCACATAAAAAACTAGGTGGAAATCGTTATTCTGCCTGTTTGTGTTTATGTTTAACACACACATACACACAAAAACAAATGACATGTTAGGTTACCTGAAGATACTGACATGCATGTCCTGGATGTATATGTCATTTATAAAAATGTATATGCTATAGGGCATGATGCATTCACACAGCATGAGCTATTTTAATGGCTACATTACTGGTACACAGAGAGACTCAAAAGAGCTGCAAAAAAGTCATCCTTTAAACCCATCTACTTTAATCTTAAGGCTTTTGTAATTGCCATTGATCGCACAGACTTGTAGGAATACAATTTGTAAGTCCAATTGAATTCCTTGACTGCAAATGTTTCAGGGTAACACATTTGTTCAGAAGGGATCTTTGCTGAAGTGCCACTTTCATCTGCTGTATGATGTAGTATACACCATTAAAATGAATTTGAAAGCATTGAGGTAATTGCTAAAATTATTTAGTTTAAATCAAATGACCTTCCTTATTTTACCATAAGCTCTGAAAACACTGTCTTTGTTGCAGATTTAGTTAGCACACTCTTAACATCCATAGAACCTTTCCATTCCACTAAAGGTTCTTTATTGTGGAAAATTTCTTTAGATTTTTAAAATGTTCTTCACACCAAGAAAAAAATGGTTCCTTTAAGAACTGTTCACTGAAAGGTTATTTGGTGAACCAAAAATTGCTCTTCTATGGCATCGCTGTGAAAAAAAACCCTTTGGAGTGCTTGAAGAATATTCATAATGCAAAAAGCCTTGAAAATGTTGTCAAACATTCCAGGCCGAAATTGTTTACCTCCTGACTTTTCACTTTATGAGTGAGATCCGGCATGGTGGCCCTATGTTGATATTCTTCTTTTGTACTCTGATAGGTGCCTCTCGCTAGGGTGTAACAAACAAACCATGGCCAGAAGAAATTGAATTCAGATGTTTTTTACCAGGGCAATGTTGAAAGAGTGCTTCTGAGCTTAAGGGAACCTCATAACTCAGTGTTATTTCAGGTTCTCTGTGAGATGTAATAAACTCACTGGATTTGCTATATACGATTTTGATATTCGGATTTACAATGTGCCTCCGTGTATCATCAGTCAAAGTTATTGCAGGTTGTTTTATTATGTATATGTTCTACAATGCTGACATGTTTTTAAAAATAAGAAACGTGATTTTTATAATCCAAGACATTCACAAATAAATACATAAGTAAAACATTCATTGGCATGCCACAGACAAACATCAATATCAATATTCATTTTGGACAGAAACCGTGAGGAAACACCAAACATTATAGACTAATAAGACATTCAGACTGTTCACTCAAACTCACAAGCACTCGTATATCAAAGTATACAGTATAGGCTACTAAATAAATACAGTTTATAATAAACATATTTGCTTCATTAAACCTCTCAAAACAAGACTGCAAAATGCAACAACAGACAAGGATCTAATTTCATGAGATGAGGACATTAATTGCATGGTTTATTACTGTATTGCAAAGCAGATATACGCTGCCGAACCAGTCATGTTTGACCTGTTAGTTCACTAAATTAATTATGATATCAGTTACAGCAGTATGTTATATTCTGAGTCGTGTACACACATTTTTAAATAGTTTTTCTATGTAAACATGCACTAGACCAGGGGTGTCCAAACCTGCTCCTGGAGGGCCACGTTCCAGCAGAGTTTAGCTCCAACTTGCCTCAAAACACCTGCCTGGAAGTTTCTAGTATGCCTTGTTATACCCTGATTAGCTGGTTCAGATGTGTTTAATTGGGGTTGGAGCTAAACTTAGCAGGACAGTGGCCTTCCAGGAGCAGGATTGGACACCCCAATGCCAGGGAGAGCAGCAACCTTTGTATCGGCAGAATGTCAGAGACGATCAAAAACAGCAGATTTTAATTCTGCTGTTCGGCTATTTCTGTTAATTCCAGTTTTTTGCCTGAGCTCGTCTCATAAAAGCGCTGAGACCCCTGTGTTCTGCGCAGTGCTTTTTTTTATGTTCCAGCACCATGTCTTGTCATGTCTTCAGTTTGTATTGTTCAACCGATCACTTTATCTTCTGATTTTTGAACCAAACTCTTTTTTAAGTCGATTATTAAATGAGTCTGTATTTTGACCTCAGTATAGTCTGAATTTTAATATAAAATCTACTTTAGCAACTCTTAAACTGAAAGTTATTGCAATATTATTGTCTTTCATTACAATTGCCATTTAAAAGAAAACACTACATCTGCACTGATACTAGTGTGCAATCAGCAATATAGTGAGAGGAGAGTATGCACAGATCTGAAAAACAATTAGCTTTTGCTCAGAGGACTTTACAGAAATGTATTGCCTGCCGCCTCCATGTTTGGTAATAATGCGATACTGACAAAAACAGATATGCCAAGACTGCAAATCGCCACAACATAAAAAAATACGAACAACAACAAAGAACATATGAAAACACAAACCATACATTCTAACATATGCATTCCAATAGAGGTAATGACTGCAGGATTTATGCTTTAGTTAGACAACAGGTTAGACTACTATACATTAATAAGGGTATACATTTATTCCGTCAGACTAGTCCTTTTCTACAAAGGACATACTTGACTATCCGATAAAGGGAGCTGGTTTGAACCTCCATTCCCACTCTGCTCCGGCTCTTCCTCTTCATCCTTACACTTCTCCATGTTGCACATGGACATAGGCACACGAACCGCAATGGTGGACATTTCTCCAAGGTGACTGTCACCTGTGGCAGTGATGGGCCCTCTGTCTGATGTCTGGTTCAGATTGGTGGAATCCAGACTGGTGACATTTCCTCTAAACATCTGGATCAGACACTTCCTGAACTGAGAGAAAAAGCATTAGATTGAACGTTTATAAGGATCGTGACTTTACAGAAATTATGCTATTAATTATGCTCGTTATGAACTCAAGACACAAAAGAAAAGCTTTGATTAATGTTTTCTGTCTCTGTGACACCATGTAGAGATTTGTTTTCAGCAGTTAGCCCTTTGCACAACCTCTGCAATGAAACAAGGAAAAGGTCATTAAGCAATATGTATTCTATGTAAAACAAGGACATTTTGGCCTTAATTAAAGCAGATAAGGTCATGGGAAGTAAATATATTCATTTCCTCAAGGTTTTGGTTGGACTGGATGAAAATGAGGTACCCTGGGTAATTATAATACCAGCTACTGCCTGTCTCTGACAAATTTGTAATGCAGAGAGCCACTACAGTGGGGATACATTTACAGAACAATACAAGCAGAACATACTGCATCTCAACTGGAAAGTCATAGAACGCTTTACCTGCTTATAACAATACTTCTACAGTGTACTAGTCTAAAATAATGTTCATTTATAAATATGATTTTTTCAATTTAATTTAAAGGGGCTATAGCCTTTGTAATAATTCCATGTATTATTCGCTTTTGTATTGTCCATGTGTGAAGAGTTTGTATCAAAACTTAAAAAAAACAATACCTTCTCTGACTTACTAGGTTGAAAGCCTGTAGACTGATTTTTATGCAAAGGACTAGGGACATTTCCCCAGGAAAATCAAAAGGATGTGACGTTTACGTGCGTTGCCGAGAGCCTCTCTTCCGTTCTCTGACACATTAAGCGAATTCTTATACAATGTTCAGGATAATGCCGAAAAAGCCATTCTGTACCGCAATGTCAAAGTGTCATGCAAAGAAAAGGGATTAATTATTAGGGATTCAATTATAGTCTCACATAGCCAGATCTATCGTCTACAGTCTCAAATATACTTCAAAATCAGACTATCGTAATGGTATCATTTTAACTGTCGACATGATGGTGGTGCAAACATATCCACATCACTATGATCAGATGCTTTCGTAACTGCTGTTTTCTCACCACTGAGATTTTTGTTGTGTGTTTATTTTGTTATTGAGTGTAGAGCACACAGCACATATTTACACTATTAAAAAAATGATATGATCAATAAGTTATGACAACATAAGTTTTTACATTGCTTTAACTCGTCAAAATAAGTTAAGAAAAGTTATACAAGATTAAACAAATTTTTTAAGTCAGTTTAATGTCATTTTAAGTTGACATGATTTAAACATCCAAGTTGAATGTACTTAAAAATTTAAGGCAGCAACTTTTTTTACAGTGTACATATTAATCTAAATGTCGCTTTCAGCAGCGTGGACGGCATGGGATGTTCACTAACAGTATATCTCTGAAACGGTATTTACTCCTAAGCAAAGAACGAAAAAGAACTATGCTGTGACGCGAGTATATATCGGGGCCTTGAATCGCATCCAGTCTCTTGTATGTTATGTGTGCACAAGTGCGAGCACGAGCAATAAGTTGCTGGCAGCAGTTCACTTAATGGCCAAGTTTTGCTAATAAAAAGGGCTTCTGAATTCAACATATAGCTCTTTTAAGATTAACTTTTTTTTAACATTAATAGTGTTTTATGAACAAATACAAACAGCAGTATATTCATAAATTAACATTAAAAGATTAATCAATTCAAAAAGTGTTGTTCATTGTCAGTTCAAGGCATCTAATGCATTAATAAACATACATTGTACAAATGTAGCCATATTAGTGTTACCAGAACAATTGAAAAAAGACAATTAAATCTAGCAGCAAATGTTCTAGTTCAGATCTCTCAAATCGATATATGATCCATTTCACGAGTTCACACTTACATACAATTAAAGGGAATAAAGTATAATGCGTATTTGGCGTGCTGTCCGGGGGGAGGGCTCCGAGCTCGGAATTCGGCCCGAACCCAGAGTACTCCCCCCTGTATGTAAAGTGGTTTAGGACTAGAAGAGTGGAGAAGGGGTGGTGGAGGGATGCTGCTAAACTGTCAGAGAAATGAGGTGAGACTGCTGAGTCTATATATACACGTTTTAATCATGATTGCTGAGTGCTCTCCACCCGTGTTAATTATCTGAACGTGCTTCTCCCGAACTTTGTTAATAAAACATCATTTCAGAAAAGACAGTAAACTTTGCATCCTCATTGAATACGGCAAATAACAGCAAACTTTCACAAGGGCTCTTGTGATACAATGCAGCATTACCAATGCTCTATGGGTAAAAAAACGGTCACTATTCTTAATCTGAAGTGTTTGTTCTCGTCTCTCTATAATGTAGTCTGTCTCTCTCTCTCACACATCAGAAAAATTTGCGACCCTGGCTGTGACCCTTGCACTGAATTTATTCTGGGAACAGCTGGGAAGGAACTGGGTTAGTTCTGGAAGATGTGCACAGCTCAAGGGGTCCAGCAGCCTCCGCTCCAAACCACCTGGGACCCACATCCTAGGGGTGGTCATCAGAGTCACATGACTGCAAAAGATCATTGCTTCATTCTTTACATCAAACGACACACTACAGGGATACTGAGGAGAAATTTCCCTCTACAACCATGTTAAAAAAATAATGGGATATCATGGAGCAACAGTGCTGTATCGGTTATTATGCATGACTCCACTGAGAATGCAGAATATCATTCAATTGGAAATAGTCAGAGGTTTAAACCAACATTAGAGATATGATACATTTTTCATTGGGTATACATGGACCACTCTACCTCTGTGGATTTGAACTTTTAAAAATGTAATTTTTTTTAAGTAAGAAAAAACTGAATCTCCTCAACCAAAACTGTCAAGAGTAAAGAGCATCAGATGTCTTTCATTTGTCCCTGACATATAATGGAGGGGAAAAAAGTTTAGCAGTTCAGACCTCATGCTCATTCTATGACTTTTATTGAAAAGAAAACTGAATTCCGACAGGATAGCTATAATATCCATAAACCACAACATTCCCATAGTGCTATTATAAGATTCATTGCCTTTGGTCTTCTTCTTTTATTGATCGATGGCATAAAACACCAGAAATCAATTTTTAATATATAAAATATAAAATCCTCTTCGTTTTTTCTCTGCACGACACCGTAAACTCAGAAGTATTATTTTTATAAGATGTGTAGGTGATCTGAAAATGCCAGATAAGGATGATAAATGGCAAAGATGTACCTGCTTATTCATGAAGACATAGATGATGGGATTGTATACAGCTGCAGTCTTTGAGAAGAAGGCCGGTATTGAGCCCAGGCGAGGATCAATATAAATTGTGGGACAGGCTGTGACAATAATTGAAAATGCTGCATAAGGCGTCCATCCAACCATGAACGCAACTATCATTACAATGACCATCCTCGCCACCTCTCGGTCAGGCTTACGCGCATTACCCAGCCTTCCATGAGTGTTTGATACCTATTAGACATAATAAAGTTCTAAGGTTAATTACAGTCCAAGAGTAAGTTAAAATCAAATGTTAATTACAATACACGACCAAACAGAATCTCAAAAGGCTTTTAGTTTTTTGTGAGTTTTATTTGCTCTTTATTCATTTACATGATCTAAAGATTTGCTATGAAGCAAGTAATGAAAATCAAGATATGAGTATTTGACCAACCTTTCTGAGCTTCTGCATAAGTTTACCATAGGAGACAATGATCACGCCAAGAGGAAGGATAAAACATGTAGTGAAAAAGGTGATGATGTAGGTGTGGTCATAGTAATCAGTTGAGTACCTTAAAGGAGGAAAACAGAGACTTTAGACCTCCTCAATCTTACCTACATGACATCTAGAAGGTACTTTGAGCACAAAAAATGAATGGATAAGAATGCTTAGGTAATCAGTTATGCACAAATCTTTACCAATAAGAGCACATGCGTATGTTAGACACTTGCATAATATGTTTTGTTGAGTGCTTTGTTTGTCCAAAAAAAAAACATTGCAACAGAACAATTGAGTACTAAGCTCCCACTGCAAGCTCAAGGCAGTGCCAACATTTGGATCACTTGAGAATAAATAGAAACCAGAATTTAAAACGTTACATTTACTGCTTTGCTGTCAGAGATCTCAACTGCAGAAACTGCATTACTCTAATGTTGAACATCAATGTGGATGCAACTATGCCCGACAATGGTAAAAAATATTCCCCCATCCTAAGTCTTCTATGTGTCAGTGCGCATTCCCTATTCAAATGTTTTTGCACTGTTTGTGTTCCAAGGCCAAGGCCAAGCCACAGACACAAATGTTTTGTACCAGTCTCTTGAAAGCAATTTTTCAACTGATGGCTGCATGGCATGAGCCTTGGGGTTATAAGTGGTTTCTTTTTTTTCTGTCATAATATAACACACAGGAAGGGCCATTCAGTGAAATGGTATTTTGAGCTCACCAGTTGGGTTCACAGGTAGTGCCAATTTTGCTGACTGTATAACTGCTCCAACCCAGAACCGGCGGGATTGTCCAGATGAAAGAGAAGGTCCAAACAAAAACAAGACCCATAGCTGCATGCTTGCCTCCCAGACGGACATTTTTCAGAGGACGACAGATCACAAAAAAACGCTCGAATGCCAAGATTGCTAAAGACCACAAAGCCACAATCCCTAGAAAGCAAGAAGGTACACCCATTTACTGTTTACTCTTCAGAAAAGCAATTACTGCACACACAAACAATGAGTATCATGGGAGACGACTATGATGGAAGTTTACTGTAGGGAGGGGGAAACCCTTCAAGCTCAAATGAGACCGATTGCAGGTAACTAGGGAAGCCCATTTCCGTCACAAAAGGGAAATGTTATGACATTAAAAGTCTAAATTATGAGATAAAAAGTCATAATTGCACAAGTCGGAATTATGAGATAAAAGTCATACATTTTACTTTTGACTTAGTGTGTCATAATTTCTACTTTTATGAAAAAAATACACCATGGTTTTACTACAACTATTTGCGGTAAAACCACTGTATAACACAAATTTACCATTGTTACTACAGTAACCATATTTTAACAATGATTTTTGTAGTAAAGCCATGGTAATAGAAATGATAAACAATATGCCAAAAAAAATAATAGTGACTAGGCTATCTATTCAATAAGTAACTATTACTTATTCTTAACATATCCTACCTTTGCTAGCCCAACAGTGACAAGTTGGCTACTGGTAATAAATCTATTGGGAGAGTTTCTGGTAAGCAGTGAATAAGAAATAATATTAAAATGGAATGAATAAAACTCGAATATGCACTAGCAACAAGTGGAATACATACTACAACAGAACTCAATTGCAAAAAAAAAAAGATGCAATTTATTACTAATAACAATGAAATAATTTATTGTCACTAGGAGATAGCAAAGGAATAAGGGCTAAATAAACATATTTAAATGACTAAAAAATACAATAAATTGTATTAGTAACCCAAAATAATTACTATTTCGTTTAAACTAAAGGAATAATGTTACACGTCTTGGTATAGTTAATAACTCACCGAAAAAAGTGACAGCGAATCCCTCCAGCACACACGCCCAGACACCCAGGAAGAAGTAGCCTCGTGCGTTAGTTAAAAAACTTATAGTGCCTCCTGTCAGTGAAACTAGAAAATCGGCAACAGATAAATTAACAATGATGTAATTCAACGGTTTCCTTAACTGTTTGTATCTAAACGTCACGAACATAACGGTGAAGTTCTCTGTTATAGACAGTGAAGTCACTATGAACATCAGACAGGCGAGGAACGTGTAATTCCAGGGCGCAATAGACTTGAGGGGACCCGTGAACGGATCGTCCGGTGGGGTGATGTCGGTGGACTCGGTGACTAAAGACACAAACGATTCCATGACAGAGTTTAGGGCTGACATGGAAAAAACGATCAAGAAAAGTTCAGAAAATCATCACTTGGGAGCTTCTTGAAAGTCCAAGACAGGTGTTTTATAGGCTACAGCCTACTAACCGACACAGAATGTGCAGAAACACACCTGTATAATTGCAAAATGGATAGTATACGGTTTCTTAATGCTTTTAATTTCGAAAATACAACAATATTTTCAAGTACAGCAATCCACTTGAGGAGACAGCAGTCCTTAAAAAGAAGAGCGCCTTTGCACTGAGGTTGCACTGAAACGTCACAGGTCCGCTCGCTTTCCGTCCACGGCTGAGCATAGGCATGTTCCTGCTGTTCTCCTTTATATATACAGTCCGTCGGCATGGCCATCTCAATCCCTCGAGGTAATGAGAAAAGCCCTTTTCCAAGTTTACTGAGACATTTCAGAGGGGCGTCACGCGCTGTGCTCTCTTAAAGCTGAACGCATGCCGGGGCTTTTCACCCAATGAAAAAGTTTTCCACATGCACACTATCACTTAAATGATAAACATTCACACGAGATGAGGTCTCCAGACATATCGGTCTTTTAGAAACAGCTAAAAAACTTGAGGAAAAAGCTATTTTTTTCCTACATGGAGCGGGTTTCCATCACATGACCAGCTGTCATTAAAAAGGTGCAAAAATGGGGTATGCATGGGTATGCATCATATGCACTCCATAAGGGTGCAAGACAAAATCTATCTGTCTGATGGGAATGTCCTGCTCTATCCATAAAAATAGGTGGCAGTATCTGAGTCCAAATCCACTGGCAAATATAAAAAAACACTGGGAACTAAAAAAAGCCACAAAAAGTCACAAAGAAAAAATGCACAATTAAACTAAACAGATTACTGGCAGTGAGGTGATTGCATACATCAAAATTCAGCACTGATGATTATTCTTTATGCAAAGTTTTCCTTAAAAAAAGTAATGTTGAGCAAAAGATCAATTTTAAAAATTCACAGCATAATTTTGATCAGCCGAATATTTTGACATACGAGATTATTTCATGATCTTCTTCCACAGATAATGTCTGAAATGTCTCCTGCCTCAAACTGACAAGAGGAAAAAATACCAGGAGTGATTCATCCGCTACAAGATTAAACAGCACGATTACCTGTGCAGCTTTCCAATGGAGAAATAATTAAGCAAATAGGAAATGCAAAGAAACTGAGACATTTGTTCAGACATTTAGAAACAACACACACTACCACGCACTGACCTTGCACGTGTATGCATCTTATGAGGATCGATCAACACATGCAAAACCACAGGCATGATGGGAAATAAAGGTTTACAACTGTTTATCCTAATTGCTATTCTACTGTAATGAAGGGTCAATTGATCTTGAGCAAATTTAATTAGCTTGAGTATGGTTCCGGTGCAAGGAAGCTTTGAGGATGGATCCTTTTCTTTGAGGATAGATTGTGTGTGTGTGTGTGTGTGTGCCACAGTCATCGACCTTTTTGATTTCCAGTGGTACTAATTTCAGTTTGTGCCTAGTCGCTAAGTGACGTTCCTATTTGAGTCATACGGCTCTCTGGACCTTTCACAGCATAATGGGACATGTCAAAGAAAAGCCGTCTGATTTTTTTTTTTTTTTTTTTTTTACAGCTGCAGACTCTTTCATATGCTTGGTAGCAGTGGCATTAAAATGACCCTAGTCCTGCTGAGCAGTTAAACATTTTCATTTACCCTGGACCTTCTTATCAGTATTCTGGCTCAGCGCTGCAGATGACAGGCTGTCCGTCATATAAGCTTGGCCTAATTATTACCTGTGCTTTTAAATTGTGGCATTACCGTGACCCTCTGGTTAATGGATTATTGTGATGTCTGGAATTGACCCCGAGTTATTTACTTCATTAGGGATGAAGTAAATAGGGCGAGGGATTGTTTTGTTTTTTGCCATTTGTGACTTTGCAGTTGTCAAAAAAATAAACAAAACAATTGCAGCTTAATCCAACCACCTGGTATTGCATAAGTCTAATATAACCTTTACAAATCCAAGCGACCTTTATTGAGCATTATTGAGCTCGTATTGGAGCTATGAGTGAGCTGAGTGCAAGAATTTCTGTAAACACAGTGATTGTCAGTCAACCTTTTCCACTACAGAACCATTACACGTACAATCCACAGTTGATTGGCCTTTCTACCATAAAGATGAAAAATGTCAGCTCATCTTTTAGGAAGACAACTGATTGAAATCTCATTATCTTGTGAATTCCTGTTGTCTCAATCACCAATCATCAAATCAATTATTTATTTGACCACAAAAATATTGGGTAATACAAGATGCTTTTTTAGAAAACTCCATTTATGATGAGTGGTAAAAGCCTTAGCATTGGATTGATGGGATAGAGCATATTTAGCAGAGGCATACTGTTTAAAATAGTTCCTGGAAAAGCTCAGATGTTGTTATAATCATCATGTGGAAGTAGGCAGCCATCCTTCCAAGGACCCCATCTGCCCCCCCAAGCCCTAAATCGCCCCTTCCCATCTGCCTCTTTTAGCCTCCAGCTTTCTTCCGATGTCTCTCTGTTACAACAACTTCAGAATTAATCTTAATAATATACATTTTAGGTGTTGTTTTTCACTTTAGTAGCATATAAATACACACAGTGTGACATACTCCATCTACAACTATTTTTTAGCATTTATTATTATTTTAGTCTTAAGCATGAGGTTAATGAAATCACATTATATGAAAGTTTACATTTGAAAAATGAATTTACACCACACCACTATTGTGTAGGCTAGATAAATTCATATAGATTTTAACCTAAAATGTATCTTGATTTTAAAAAACAACATGGATACATTAGGCATCAATTACTTCAAATGAATGTTTCAAAATGTCATTTTCAAAATGCACTTCAATATTTCACGTTTAATTCAATGGGTTAGGCCTACTTGCAGTGAAATTTACCAGCAATTACTGAGTGAAAATCGTTTCTACACCATGTCATTTCCTTTTTCTGCCACAAGATGGCGCCAAGTGTTAAATCTTTGATTCTACCTTACATTTCGACGGAAGAGACATCCAAAACACATGTGAACGCATGGCCTATCCAAGAAATCTTGTATTAAATTAAGCTCGATCCAATGTCACTTTATCACACTTCATAGAAATATACACTCCCACTACGTTTCATTTTTTTATTAGTATTATTATTCTTTCTCTGTGTTAAGTCATAAAATGATTATTGGAATCAGCGAGCTAGTTTGCTATTTGTTTAAAAATGTTTGTAAATTGAAATGGTGAAATCAACAGGTTTCATTAGTTTTAACCTCTTATTCACCAACACAACACTGTAAAAATTACATGATCGACAAGTTATGACATCATATGTTATTACATTGCTCATTGCTTACATTAACTCATCAAATAGGTTAAGCAAGTTGTTCAATATTCAACTCATTTTTAAGTCAGTTTAATGTCAAAGTTGAAATGACTTAAACATTCCAAGTTGATTGTACTTTAAAAAAATTGTGCTTTTTTTTACAGTAAATTGCTGCTCCCAGATTAGCTACATCAATTTACTTTTTATATGAAATAAACAAAGGGCTTTTTAAAACATTTGTCATGAATTGCTTTATTTGAACTCAGAAGCAGGAAATTATGCACCAACAATGGTTCTGTTTAAAGTGGTGAGATGAGCCAAATCAGATTCATGGGATAGCCTATTAATCCTATGCATTTGAACAATTTTAACTAGTTGTTAATACATAATAAATAATAATAAATAGGATGAAATGCAAAACATTTTTAGAGGGCAGCTGTTGAAAAACAGTTAAACAGGGGTATTTCTGTTATTGCTTCATATGGGCATTAATTAAAGAGCCACTAAAATCTTCAGTCATTCCCATTTCTGAAAGAGAAAAATAGTACTTTTACTTGCCTAGAATCAGATTTCTTTCAGTTACTACTAAATGGAAACAAATCAATTAAACTATTATGTAATTCACCTTTTAATCGCAGATATGCAAGATGACCCAGCAGTGAGTGAAGATAGGAATCATCTATGGAATAGGAAAAAATTGGACTATACTTTAGAAAACATATTATTTTACAAAGAGGAATAACATTTAAGAATGGGACAGGATGGAAAATAAATAGGAATGTAATAATATTTCACATTATAATAATAAAATAAATAGTAATAAATGCTTTAAGGACTGACTATATGAAGATGTTGGCACGCTTGAACTCTCGTTCCACATGTCTTTTTTGCCCATAGCTCTGTGTCTAAGACTTCTGTGAGCATCTGCACAAAATTATAGCAATAAAACCAATATTAAATGTTGTTAAAATACACATTTGAACAAAGCTGTCAAATTGTTTGAATGCAATGCACTTACAAGGTCCTAGTAGGTACCCAGCACTGTGTAGAGTCCAGCCTTTTTTCTCCGGATTCTGTGGGATTAAAAGAGACGATGAAAAAAACAATCATAGTTAAGCTAGAGAAGAGGTAATGGAAGATGTACCGTGAGGGTCATGCCATGGATCCTTGAGAGATGTGCAGTAAATACACAGAGTGAGATACAGAGTAGAGCACAATTTGTCTGCATCTGTATAAAAAACAGTGCATGTAACATGTACATTACTATTGCTGTTGTATGCATATAGGTAGTGTTAGACTGACTGAGGTTACTTTTTACCCAGGTGATGTTTTATAAAAAATAAAGATTTTCTTTACAACATTAACTTTACCTTATTCTATGAGGAACATTTAAGACACAATCCTGAAAACAGTACAGTGGTTAAAGCACAAACACACACAACACAAATAATCCTTACCTTCTAAGAGAAGAGTTGCTGTTTAATATTAATACAAAAAAAATGAATTCCAGTGGGGGAAATGAGACAGCCTGTAACCTTCAAATAACAGGGTTGCTGCAGGTGTGTGTCTGAATGAGGGACAGTCTGTCTTTTATACACCCAGCAGCATACAGCATATTAACATAATGAAACTCTATTAGTACAATGTTCATTTGTTCATTTCTCATAATTACTGGTGCTGTTTACAGAGACGGGAGAGGGAGGAAGGACAGAGAATGATGAGACAGAATTAATCAGACTGTTAGCAAGGATACAGTACAGGAGGGAGAGAGAAGGAATGGTTCTATCTATCTATCTATCTATCTATCTATCTATCTATCTATCTATCTATCTATCTATCTATCTAATCACATGAGGTAATATTGAAATCCATTTCAATCCTTGATGCTTTAATAACAGCACTTTGCCCTACATATAATTACAGCACCTTCTGCCCCGTTCTATCCATTAACAGGGAAGCCCTAAAACATTCCACCTAATTATCTACCACTAATTGTGCTAAAGCTGTATTTGGGAGGGGGGAACAGGCCGATGAGGAAGCTTGTTGAAACAGGGAATGAGAGCCGAAATTTCAGTCTCCTGTGGGAGGCATTATAGTGACCTCAGATGAATTAACCTCGATCTCTGCCCCTGTGTTTTATTTTCATGCACTCATCTGCTGTTAAGAGCAGGTATGCTCTTATATCTGAGGTCATTTCTTTCGTTCCCTCTCAGAAATCGATATCTGGAAATCTTAGGCAGCAACTGAGATCACAATGCATATGGGAATAGTTGAAAACAAATGAAACTTTTTTTTTTGTGTTGCTTTTTTCTAAATGTCATCTCAATTATATTTTCTAAATATTGCAGACTGTGTAAAACATGCAAACATCACTAAATGTCATAGCATGACAAATCATTTACATATTTTAAATGAAATGCTGCTAATTCAGAGAAGTAAGTGGGGATATGTGGATGTAAAAGAGTCTGTGACTAGGGCTGATATTTTATTTATGGTGGGTGTTCTGTATACACCTGCTTTCTACTGAAGTAGTCAGTCATGCTTTGCTTACAGGCATGAACTCGCAAGCAATACAGCGAATCAGAATTAAACCTTTTACTTATGCAAAATTAATTTTTCACATGATATCGTGTGAGGCTGCCACGTTTCATTTACCCACCGTGTAATCTTACTGACTTTGCCCAGTTTGTTTAAGGTAAGTTTTACATCTTTATTTCTTTGGTGAAACCATTTATTCTAGAAAGCATCATAAGACATCAGTCAAATCATTAACATGTTTTGATAAATTCCAATTAGATGGTGATTATGTAAACGTTGTTTATCTGAGGTACTATTTTCTAAAAAAGTGAGATTTTATTGCATAAATGTTAACAAAAATGGTTTCTGTTGTTTAAACATTATAAATACAAATATATCACTGACTGTTTGAACCGTCTAACATGATGTAAAAAACCTGATTTTACCTAACCCCCGAAGGATATATTCTCAAATGTTCATAACAGCAAACAAAGCACTTTTGTCCCATGTGCTAGCTAGTGCTTGAATAGTTAATGCATGCCTGTAAGACGATATCTTTGGTTTCGTTACCAAAGGCAAGGAAATATGAGAGTACAAGACACTTCCTGTAACCTGTTCTGTTTTTGTCCTTTTTTAGCAGAAAATCCAAACTGATACGAAAACAAATTTAATACACGTTCTTAAAGAAAAAAGTACTGAACTGTGTGAAACCAACTTGATTCTTAGTTGTTTTCCATGGTTCTCAGTAGATGATTTCAATATTAATTTATTTTTTATTTTGTGCTTACAGATATGGCATCTGAGTGCTGTCTCAGTTTCACCAAATACTTCCTCTTTCTTTTCAACTTGATATTCGTTGTAAGTTTGCATATATGAAAATTAAATGAAATAAAGTATATCATATACATATAAGAATATAAAAAATATAACAGCACTTTCCTTGCAGTCATATATAGCCTACTGTATAACATATGTTCCCTTTTTGGACTTTTGGATAAAACTTTTACATTTTATACAATGTACATGTCAGATTGCTGTTGGACTGTGGTTTTCTCATTTAGCTCTTAGGATCCCTCCTCTTATCTTTGGGACTATGGATACAAATTTCAGAGAACAGCATTTTCTGTAAGTTTTATATTTATTTGTGTGTGGAAAGAAGAGACAGTGCTATTTGGATTTTTCGTCTATTACAAAATATTAAAGCATTTGTTCCATGTTTTTCTACAGTTTCCCCTCCTCCCTACATTTCCATCTCTCTCTTCTCCTACTTGCTGATCACCAGTGGCTCTGTGACCATGGCATTAGGCTTCCTAGGATGTCTAGGTTCTCTGAAGACTGTCAAATGCCTGCTGGCAATTGTGAGTTTTCAGAAAAATAAAACTTGATGGGATTCAAATGCCATTGATGTGACCGATTTGAGATTTGCGCCATTTAACATACGCTTGTTAGGACAACTCCTAAAATGTTAAGAGTCTATAGGAGTCACCAACCTCTTGAGAATTGTGCATGTTCTTGGTACTGGTGTTTGTAATGCAGCAGTAAGTTGATCTGCTCCACTGAGCTGTAACAGTATTAAAATAACCTTCATTTATCTACAGTATTTCATCCTGCTCACAGTTCTTCTCGCGGCTCAGATAGTGGGTGGGGTTCTTTTCTACACCCAGAAGACTGAGGTAACTCAAGCATGCAGATCTGCAGTCCCACCCAGTTTGGCATTGGGCTTTTTATACAGATCTAGCACATTACAATTAATCCTCTTTGGTGTCAAGTTTTTAATCAGTTTGATTGATTTCTGTTATTCAAATGTTATATGTCTAAAGCTAATACTTGAGACAAAATCATGACCATAACATCTTTAACTTGTTCCCCCCCTCCCTCCTCCTCCTCCTCCTCCTCCTCCTCCTCCTTAATCAGTTGGTCGGTTCACTAGAGAAGCATACTCTTAAACTAATAAAGTCATTAAGGAATGACTCCAGTCTCCAGAGTTTTAAAAAGACTCTAGAAAACATTCAGAAGGAGGTGAGAGAAACAGTACAGTACACAACAAAAAGAAAACTGTATATGAGAAAACAATATGTAAAATTGACCCAAATGTATTTTTGCAATCAGATTTTTCAAGTACATTTCACACTTGGAATTAAGTAAAACACACTTAAAGTCCATGTAAAGTAAAAAATTTGACTCTTTTAAATGTCCAACATAACAGGAACATTAAACAGGAACAAGTCTTTGCCTTTACTCAAAACTGCATAAAATAACACTCAACACTCTCCCAATTCAGTCCTATGCAAAGCATGCTGGGAACTAAATATCCACCCATGCAGTTTCAGTTAAAGGGTTAGTTCACCCAATAAATTTAATTCTGTTATTAATTACTCACCCCTGTGTCGTTCCAAACCCGTAAGACTTTACTTCAGAACACATATAAAGATATTTTTAATGAAATCTAAGAGATTTCTGTCCCTCCATTGACAGCATACGCAACTCTTTCAAGTCCCAGAAATGTAGTAAAGTATTGTCAAAGTAAACTACCACTTTTAAGCCTCACAAAGGTAGTAAAGACATCATTCAAGTAATCCATGTGACTCCAGTGGTTTAACCCTTCTTTTTTTTTTACAGTCTATAGTTTAACCTCATTTTTATGAAGCCATGCCAGTGCTTTATTTGCGCAAAGTCAACACGATACGCATGCTTCCTGGTGCTTTTGTGAACGCGCACATGCGTGTTGTGTTGACGCGTGAGTCTGACGCGAGAGCAGGCGTTGCATGAACGCGCGTTTGAGATTAATATTTTGTAAATAAAGTGTTAAATTGTGTTTGGGTTTTTTTCCGCAAAAAAAATGCACTCGCGTTGCTTCATAAAACTGAGGTTAAACGACTGGAATCATGAATTACTTTACATTTCTGGGGCTTGAAAGTGGTAGGCTGAATGGAGTGATAGAAAGCTTTCAGATTTCATTAAAGAGATCTTCATTTGTGTTCCGAAGATGAACGAATGTCTTACGGGTTTGGAACGACATTAGGGTGAGTGATTATAATGACAACATTTTCATTTTTGGGTGAACTAACCCTTTAATGCCACACAGATTATTCATGTATTCCCAACACCAATTGGTTTTATGTAAGTGGGCTAAACAGAATGAAATCAAGCATTAGCTCATTTTAATTAATTGAACAAGCAGCAAACATATTTTTTCCCAGTATACAGAGATCAGGACAGTTTCAGCCCAGTTTTGGATAATGGACATCCCATTCAGCTTAAAACATTTTAAGAGAAGGTGTTTGACTACAAAAGTATAGATTTCATGAAGATGTAATATAAAGTAAAGCTCTAGATAAAATAATCAGCACATGCCATGTGTACATAATGCATAATGCATGCTACATGCCTTGTATATGCCATGATATCAGTTGAACTTGAAAGCAAAATTTGACAACTACATTGGGAAGTTTGAAACAAAATATCACCTCCATTATTGTCTTTGCAGAACAAATGCTGTGGTTGGAATGGGAAAAAAGACTGGGAGGGTTTTATAGATTCTTCCTGCTTCTACACAGTCCATGCCACTGTCAATGCGACGAATGCAACCCAAGCTCCAAAGTTATGTCCCGAATGTTTCTCAAATGTTTCCATTTCAAATCCCACACGCATGATTTATGAGCAGGTATGGTTTCAGTTCTGCCCTGTAATCATTTTGTAAATTGTGTTTCAACAAAATGAATTGAGTTGTACCTCTTTTCTCTCTCTCAAAGGGTTGCAGTGACCATATTAAAAATTGGCTGAAAGAAAATCTCATTTTAATTCAGGTGGTTGTTTTGGCCATTTCTCTGGTGGAGGTAAGCAAACTGTCACCAAACACATTAAAACCAATTCAGATAATGCAAATAAGTACAAGCTTTCACTGTCCAAACTTAGTGTTAATGAGAATAAATTAAGTGTAATGGGAGGAATTGATGGTGTTGCTGAATGTTTTAAGTACCACCTCTGGCCATTTGTCTCATAGTGTCTACAGTGGATTTGTCTCGTATCTTACTGTTGTCTTAATCGCACTCACCGTTGCTGCCCTAGAAAGTCACATGGCAGCCATGTTCAGCTGTCCAGGTCTCTCTTTGTGACTAGTGTGGTGTGGTTGAGTGCTTCATTTTTGCATGGAGGAATAATGTACAGTCTGCACTTGTATCACCCATAAAGGCTGGAATACACTACACCAGACATTAAAACACTATACACGTGCCAACTTTGTAAATGGTTACAGAGAAAAAATGGGCTTCATACACTTAACGACTGAGCATAATTCAAAGCCAGATTACCAGACACTACCAAACTTTCAAGTCGTCCTGAATACAACAGTGTATTTCATTTCCAGCCTTAATGGGTTTATTTTGCAATAACGAAATACTGAGAAAAAATTATAACACTTATTACACAGCTCCTCGCAAATATAAAATGCATGGACATGAAATATTGATTAAAAATAATTTTATACCTATATATTATCTTAAATCTTTCATTAAGGGAAAAAAAGTTCACTACAATGTGAAACTCAGTTGGCCTAGCAGTAAGACGAACACTGCAATGAATTATTATTTTAAAATGAAGTTCCTAACTGTTAAGTCTCAAGATTGCGTTAGTTGCATTTGTTTGAAATACGGTAAACAGAGAGAGTGGTCAAATTAGTGAAATTTCTAGGGCAAAAAAGATCCATTGTGTATTCTCAATGTATGAAGCACAGCTCACACCGAATTGCATTCAATGCGGGTGCATTCATATGAACATATGAGAGCTTCTCAGGAAGACTTTTGCCCTGCATCATGCATGAAAATGAATTCTTGTTGACATGACTGTGATCGCACCTTAATATGAGTTACCCGGATGAGCGGACTGAGTTGCTATGGACGATGGTGTATATTAAGAAATGTCATGCCACTGAATGCTGCGATTGATCAGAAACGAGCATTCTAGAGTGCTGTGTAATATGTTTTGTTATAGTTAATGCATGATACTTGGTGTGGAAATGACATAGCAACTAATTAACAGGATTGTTTCTCAGATTAGATACACGGTGGTCTTATTTTAGCTATATTACATTTTCGTACGTTACTGTGTGACTTTGTTTTGTGAGTTCAGAGTAACAGAATATGACTGTACAAAGGTCTCAGTGGTTACTTTTAATTGTATCTTCCCTCACAGAGATTTCACTGTGGAGTACTGGCAAGGTATATGTTATTTGTGTTGTTATTATAGTAGCCTAGTGTGTGGTCTGAAGATTCATCCATCCTTGATCCCAGACTCCCAGCATTTGAACTTGGAATGTTTGACCAAAATCGTTAATTGAGGGCATTGCTATTGTTAGATATTAGGCTTAAATGATTAATGGTTAACTGAATGGTTGAACCATGGATGGTTAATTTATGACAAATATCTTTTTCTTTTTTGCAGATATGTGGTATGATCCTTTCGATGTGTCTGTATAAACAGGGTTCTGTGGATTACAACATCGTTTTCAACTAAGATAACCAGGATCAGTGAGGGGGAAAACGTCAAGTATTCATTTTCTCTCATTCATAAATTTGATGTTTTGTTGATGTCTTTTTAAATGAGATTATTCGTTTTCTGTACGGTATTTGATTGTTTTCTACAGATATTTTTTTTATCCTGTAAGACAGTCAATTGTTGATTTTTCTTGTTATTCAGATGTGTGTAATAAATATTATTTTTAGTAATTGTTTATGAAAAGTCAAATTAATTTGAACCTGTTCTTATAATTTTTAAATGATATAAACTTTCATCTGATTCTTAGAATTTGTGCATGTGACTATGACTTTTCTCACTTGTTCAGTTTAGCCATTGGGTAAGAAAGGACTGGAAACATTAGGGTGTGACAGTGTTATATTTCACTATTGTTGTGCACACAAAGCAAATGACCTCAATACTGTGGCAATGTGTGAGATACTGTTCTCATAATCATGTCTTTCATATCTAAAATATTAAAACTCAAATCGTCCTTAATTATATGCTGTGTTTTATGTAAGATGACAACCAGTATTACATATAAGCAATTTAAAAAAGATCTTTCAAATAGCCTATATTTAAATTTAAGTAAATTAAGTATCCAAATACACAGGGTAATTGTAATAAAACTGCTGTTGCTAAAATAAATAAAACATTAAATTATGTTATAAATTTGATTTTCATTTATTGTCATAACGACTTAATTTATGTGTTTATTTAAGCTGAGGATCTAAATGGTACATATGACATTTTATACCCCATAGCAAGTTATTAGGGCAGGGAGGAGGACACTTGTTATCAGGTGTCACATATATATATACATGCTGTATTCATCTCCTTGATTAATTCTTGGGGAACACTACAGACTAAGAAGGTAAGAAAGATATTTTATCAGATATTACAGTTATTTTAGTCTTAATGCATGAATACATATATTGATTTTACATTTATTTATTTATGTTTTCGTATTTAATAACTCATTATCATTCATTTATGTCAGTTTAATAAAGAAAGAAAGATGGGATCCCACACATTGGTTCTGATCATGATTTTAGGTGCCCTCTGTGGTGAGTGAATTTTGACTGCTTTCAGATCGTTGTTCTCCGGATTTCTCAATTACAGTAAACAGGTTGTGCTTTTTATAATATTAGGTAATATTAAAATATATATGTTAATATACATGTACATATTATATTTTAAATGTATGTAATTTAGATAGAACATCATTTACATATTTACATTCACACACACACACGCGCGTATATGATTTCCATAAAGTGGGTAAACACTAAGCTCTTAATTGTCTTAATCAAAAATTATTGGTCAGGAAATAAGCACAATTTAAGCAAATGCATAACTTAAAAAGCCATTGGCGTCTCGAAACATCAAAGACATAATTAAGTTTTTAGCAGAATATGGGAATTTAGTGTGGAGTGATAAATCACAATGAAACACGAGTTGCATGGTGATGCTCCAGAACGGTGTCTTCGAAAATCTGGTGAGAAATATAATAATAAGTACCACAGTGAAGCATGGAGGGAGAGGTGTTATTGTGTGGGGAGCCTTTTAAGCTGCTGGTATTGGTGAGCTACTTAACTGTGAAAAGACATTTAATGCTTTGGAGTTCAGGAAAATATTGCATGATGGCTTGCTTCCCATAAATAAAAAAGTTGTTTTATAAGGAGGAATGAGGATCAGATGTTATTTTAAGACAATGCTCCTGCCACACTGCAGAGACAACCAGGATCTTGAGAACAAGTCCATCAGGCTTATGTTTTGTTCAGAGTCCAGATTTGGAAGTGGGAGACATTTTTCAACAACTGAGCTGTTTGAAGCCATTAACAGAGAGTGGAACACACTGACTCGTCTTCCAGTAAAAAGCTGTCTGCAAGTTAGGGAAGGCTATTCTAAGTTACTTTACCTACAATTCTTGCTCATTTCCTGACTAGTGATTTGTGATTAAATATTTTTGGCTTAGCCGTTTTTTGTTTAGTATTTTTGCCAGAAGATTGCTATAATGAATTCAGCACACAACAGAAGCTTTTCTTAAACATTTTCCCATCACAATGATAACAAAGATACATTTCAAAATTGTGATCCTAGTTGCACAGGCACTGAGGTGCAACTACTGCAACAAGATCGACGAAAAACATCCCGACTGTGATAAGATAGAGGAGAGAGAATGCAGCAGTGGTTTCGATACCTGCATTAAGATCAAATTGCACGTTCCAGCCTGTGAGTTGACCATATTCATTTCCTCAGCTGCTAAAACATAGGATAGTGCCATACTTAAGTAACCTACTGCAGATTATAGTTCATGTTTAAACCTGAGATACAGGGGGCTCTTAATGATAAACTGATGAAGTCTAATGACAGTATTATTTTCAACCAGAGTATTACTTTTCAACCCAATCCCTTTGTGAAAGCTATTGTGTGTGTATTTCTTTTTGTAGTCGGTGAGGTGCGCAGATGTGCCAAAGCTAAGGAGTGTGTTGAAGATGTGCCTCCTCAGGTGGAGAGAAGCTGCTGCACAACAGACCTCTGCAACTGATCTGCTCTATCAGCATATATATTTTACAATTTGGTCTGTGATTATCTGCTACTTAAAATGCTCAAAACATAAAGCTAACATAGTTATTAATGGTCTTTAATATAATATATAGTATATATATGTCATTAGATATATTATAAAGAAATAAATTCTGACCAGCGGAAAAAAAAGGATGACTCTTTGTGTTTTATGAAACATTTATTCTTGTTGTGTATTGTCATAGATTTGAAAAGAATAAGTTGAACAGAACAGCTCATTCAGCATTCACACAAAATGTTATGGACACACAAAAAATGACTTCTCACCCAGCCCAAACAACACAAAACTGCAGACACAGAAACACCATGCAAAGCCAAAAAGCAATTTCTTAACACATTTTTTGTCCTAGCACAGCAAAAAAAAAAAAAAAATTCTTACTCAGTTTTTTTTCTTACTGTTTTTCATTAAAATATCTAAACATTCTTAAATCAAGATGCCGTTACTTAAGCAAAATGACTAAAGTCCTGTTTTTTTGTTTATTTAATGCTTAAATCCAGAACAATTATCAGTCAATGGGGTCAGAAAAATAAAATGAATTCAAAGGAAAAACAAGATTGTTTTCTGACCCCTCTGGGAAATAGTTTAGCTTTTTTAAAGTAAAAACCCTTAATTTTGATAAGTTTTTCAGAAAACGATACTTCTTATCAATTCATTCTGCGTCAAATGTATCCTGATTTAAGAATGTTAAGATACCTCTACTGGAAAACAACTCAAAAATACTGAATAATAAAAAAAACATTTTAGTGTGGTTTATTCCAAAGTTATTGCAAAATTACAAATTCAATCACATTAAATAAAAACACGGTCACGCTTATATTAAGTGTCTAACTACGATGTAAAAAGTGATCAGTTGCCTTAACTTAAAAAAAGTGAGGAAACCCGTTGCATTAAAATTAAGTAAATTAACTTCATGCGTATTTGAAAAAATTAAGTTAAATGGAATTGTTGTCCACATAACTTAATTTTTTCAATTATGCATGAAGTTTATTACGTAATAATTTTAAGGTGACACAGGCTCACTTTTTTAAGTTAAATCAACTGATCACTTTACAGTGTATGTACTTACATAAAAAAAAGTAATGTACTCATTGTACTGCGTTCACATTGTATTGCGCTGCTATTGAGGTGGGATACAGGTAGGTTAGGTGGTTTGGGTAGGTTTAAGTGTGGGTTAAGGGATAAGAGAAGTGTCAACAGTGTAATTATAGATGTAACTACAGAAATTAATTAATTACATGCAGGTATTTTTAAAATATGTACAATGTAAAATCATGTATGTATACAATAAGTGCATTGCATCAAATTATTAATTTAAACGTTAGTGCATAGTAGCTAAAGACACCTAAGTGGGACTAAAAATACAATCATATTAATTACAGTATCGGGCTCAGTAAGCCATAATGAAGCATTTCAGAAAAAAAAAAAAGGGCATAATTTATAAACAGTTGCATCAATGCTGCTAAATATGCTTGTGTTCACCAAGAACCTTTTTTTTTAACCATTACAGAGATAGTGGCCTATTGAGTAGAGACAAAACACACTGCTTGTAATAATAACCAGGACAGATATAAACAGCAGTCCATGGACAGACATTTTCTTTTCTGCTGCTCCTCGGACCACACACTGGTGTTCTGAACATCCCTGAAAACTTTGTGCAGCACAAACATATGACTGCCGATTCAATTTAGGCAGAACCCAGAAGAGTAAGACATATACGAAGAAAACCTCCACTGCAATCCGCACCATCACCGTCAACAGGTACACCACCACGCTGCTTTTGCTCTTGTGGAGGTCGATCACCATCCTACCACCAACAGTCATGGTGGGATCATCTCCGACACCTCCCTGCTCGCTTTGAGATGCCATTTCTCTCTCTTTCTTCTTCTGGAATGAATATCGAAGATGGGAGGAAAAAAGCTCCATGAGAAGGACCGAGAGCACAAGAAGGATGAAGAGGAAATGCCATGCCATCACTATAGAACTGTCAAAATGTATATTAAAGCAAGCTCTAATGCAGAACTCTGAGGAGCTGTTACAGTAGAAATCATCATTTAGGCTTCTCCATGGTATCTGAGCCAGAAAGATGGTCACCAGGCGGATGCAGAGCAAGCCGAACCACATGGTCCGACCTTTATAGGAGGTGGTGGAGTCCACTGCAGTGCGGAGGATTGGGATGAGCCCGGTAACTATCGCTGCCATTGCTCTCAAAGGTGGATGATTCTTCTTAATGCAAAGAATGTATCTGCACACAAAATAGGAAAACTTTTAATTAGTGTCATATTACAAATACTCTATTTGGTACATTGTGTGATACAACATTAACATGATTTCAAAGCAGCAGTGTGGAATTTTTTAAAAGAACAAACCAAACATACCTTCTTTTTTTTTGTTGAGGGAATTTAGAGTTTGTCCAATGCTGAAGTTGTTGTCATTTTGAGCTTCGCTGAATATATAGCCTTCTAAACTGTATGTGTCATCAAAAACACGTGTTTCTCACACATTTATCCACAGTTAACTTGTTTCTTCCCTTAGGGTTAGGGCCTAAGATCTGAAATGCAAGTTTTTGTCTATAACTATAATTTTAACGCACTTTAAATGTAAAATTTTGAATATAGATTTTGAATACAAGGGCATTCACCACTGGTTACATTTTTTGACACGCATACTATTTTGTTTACTAAATTAATTACTTTTTCCCCCACAATTTATATAAACAGTACAATTAAAGTAATCTAAACTATGGAACTTGTTGGCTGCTTTCTTTCATTATCCATGCCAACTCATCCATTTAATTAATCATAAAACGTAATTATAATAAATAAATGAGAAAATACCAATTTTGTGTAGAAAGCAGATCTTTACTACTTATATTTGTCAACAAAACTAGATTAAACATTTTTAAAATAATAGGAATCAAAACTTTAGTCAAGTGTGTCCAAACTTGTGACTGGGTATTGTAAATTAAATCATTTTTAAATATCAAAATACACCAAACTTCCAAAAATCCATGAAGTATAATTTAGCTTATAGGACATTGGGGGTACAGATAAAGAAGAACAAGAAGCGATATTGTTGTTTTACTGTATATCATAAGAGCATTATAGCATGTCCAGGAAGAATCATTGTCATATTTACCACCACATACACTGACTGGCTTATTGCTTAAAAAAATTCAAACAATACAAGCTGTTCAAACTTAAGAAAAATTAAATAATATATAAACTTTAATGGTCAACTTTAAAGTTTTTTTTTATTTAAAGTCATTGGTCTTGTGATTAAAATCAGCATTCAAATATTACACTGATTTCAAGTGTATAAACATGACATCAGATTAAATCTGTGATTATGATACATGAACTGACACTTTGATTCAGACATACCTTAAAAATAAAAATAAATCCTTTCAGCAATCTTGGCACAAATCTAAAGATAAATACATTTTCCTACAATATCAAGGCAAATTAAAGGCATTATTTTTTGACTATTAATGCACCGATGCATTTAATCCTATTTAAAAATTAAATTCTATTAGTGTTTAGGCTTTTTTCAAGATTCTCTTTGTTGTGTTATTATAGAACAGCAGTACCAACACATTGTTCAGGTGTTCAAAGCAGCCGACACAGTCAGCAATAAGTTCAGATCCCCTCTTCCTTATCCATATATACATGGTCTGGCATTGTCTGAAATGCAGACACCGGCACAGTCACTGGAACCGTCAGGGAAATAGCGGTGGGCTCAGATTCCGACGGTGACGCAGCACTTGGTGGAGATGGCAGGGGTTGACTGTGCACTATGTCTGTCTGAGGCAGGGAAGATGACGAGTCTGTGTCACGGTGGGTACGTAAGTGTTTGCGTAGGTAGGCGGCAAAAAGAAAAGCCTTTCCGCAAACAGCGCAACAATGTGGCCGACTGGTTGAATGGATGCGCTGGTGTTTGCGAAGCCCGGCTTTGTTCAGAAAACCCTTACCGCACTGGTCACAAACGTGGGGTCGTGGCTTGGGGTGGAGTTTCTCGTGTGCCTGCATATCAGCCAGCTGAGCAAACTCTGCCTGGCAGGTCACACAAACGTAAGGGCCGTTAGGTAAAGCCGAAACTGTAGAATCAGACGGTGGAGAGATAGTGTGAAGGCTGGTATGAGCCTGCACTTCCTCCCACGTCCCGAATATCATATCGCAGTGAGAGCAGGAGAACTGAGGAAGGGTGGTGGGAAACATTTGAGCCGATTCAGGAGTGGCCTGGACCTGTAACGGGCTCTCGGATAAGTGTGTCCTCTCATGCTTGCGCAAACTTGATGACACAACAAATGACTTGAAGCACAGCTGGCATTTGTAAGGACGCTCCCCTGAATGCACCCTTCTGTGTTTGTTCAGACTGGAGCGCTCCGTAAACGACTTGCCACACTCAGTGCAAGAGAAAGGCCGCAGCCCGGAGTGCACTAGCATGTGGCGCCGAAGGTCCCAAGAAGCGACGAAAGCTTTATCGCAACGTTGGCATTTGTAGGGCCGCTGACCGGAGTGCACACGCTGATGCACCGCAAGGTCTGCCGGCTGCCGAAACTTCTTAGTGCACTTATCACAGGGGTACGGCTTGAATCCTTGATGCGCCCGTTGGTGTCGGCGGAAACTAGAGGGATCTGAGAACATCTTGCCGCACTGTGGACACAAGAAGGGTTTTTCGCCAGAGTGGGTACGAAGGTGGGACTGGTACGAAGACAGCTGAGTAAAACCTTTGCCGCACTGCTCACACTGGTACGGCTTGCTCTTGGAGTGGATTCGCAAGTGGCACGCCAAAGAGGACGACCGGGAGAAGGCTTTGCCGCAGTCAGAGCACAGGTAAGGCTTCTCGCCCGTGTGCGAGCGCTGATGGTTCTTCAAGTCCTTCAGCTCGGTGTACGATTTACCACACTCGCCGCAAATATACGGCCGGTGGCCTTGGTGATTACGCCGATGCTTGCGGTACACTGAAGGGTCGGCAAAACTCTTCCCACACTCGGAACAAAAGTAAGGCTTTTCCCCGGTGTGTGATCGTTGATGCACTTTGAGTTTCGATAATGTGGGATAACTCTTAGAGCAATGAGGGCAGGAGTGGGGCCTCTCGCCGCTGTGTTGCGTCATGTGGATACGCAGGCAAATGGCCTGCATAAATGCCTTGCCACAGTCAAAACAAACAAATGGTTTCTCCCCTGTGTGTGAACGGCTGTGGTTTCGCAACTCTGAGTGAGTCTTATAAGCCTTATGGCACTGTGGGCACTGGAACGGACGCTGAACAGAGTGGGAGCGCTGATGCTTGGAAAGCTGTGCTCGGCTGGAGAACGTCTTAGTGCACTTACCACAGGTGTACTGCTGCTGTTTGTCTTTACCATGTACTGACAGCTTGTGGCTCTGTAGAGCTGAAGGGCTGGTAAAGACCTCCTGACAGGTCGAGCATTTAAAAGTGTGCAGAGTTTTTGACAGTCTCCCTTTGCCTCTTCTTCTTGTAGGCTGTTCTGATATGTTGTCTTGTTCTTTGTTGGGCTCGGTCTCAGAAGGAGGTGGTGTATACTGCTCTGCAGTTGGAGGGCTACCTGGTTGGGGTGAAGCCATCCTGACGATGCTGGGGAGAACAACAAAATACACAAATTAGTGCCTTGAATTTATATTTTAATTGAGAGTTTAGAGTTCAAATGTGCATTTGATAGATGATTGTATTTATTGTAACTTATATTCTTTGTTGTTACATTTGTCCCATCTTTTGTATTATTTTCTTTTAAATGAACAATACTTCTATAAACAATAACAAACAATAACTAAAATTAACAATAATATGCTACTCTTTTTAAACTGAAACTTGACCATTGCACTTGACCGAAATAAATGTGATTTGTAGTTGCAGGTAAGTAATATATTACATAATTTTACCATGGTAATCAGTTCTTTCCAAATACCATGGTCACTACACATACTGCTAATTTTGTTTTAAAAATACATTATCCCCTGTGATTTTTCTTAAATGTTTTATGACAATGGTGGCGAATGACAAGTTAACATATATATTGTAAAACTAGCCTTTTGGCAGAAACTAGTTACCACGATAAATATTTTATAAAGGATGGGGAAGGCAGCACAAAATGGCCGGCATTAGGACCTCAGGGACAAATAGGAAAGACGCTCGATCGTTCTCAAAGGAAGTTGGCATCTGGGCTGCTAATGTACAAAACTGAATTACATTTCGATGTTAACCAAAATTAAACATAACAAACATGACAAAATTGAAGCAATGCAAATGTAATTCAGCGGAAACTCAAAGAGCTTATAACCATGACTTTAACGCATACAACTACTATTTCAGCATGCACTATAACACAAAATGGCTGGCTTTAGGACCGCTGAAGATGCGAAGCAATTCGCAGTCGGATGCTTCTGTCACTTCATCATAATCGCTGCATTTTTACAATACGTGCCCGTTTATATATCGTCAGTATTTCTAAAAGAAAATATGGCTTACGTTACGTACCTTTTGTGCTACCAGGAGAAACGGTTGTATTTTTGACAATGAATTGCAAATCGTTCAATCTCAGGAGAAGGCCGGCGGCTTTAGGACCACGACGAAATTATCCTGCGAACGCGGAGATGTTAGCATTCATGACTTCCTCACTCTCCACCTGGGGAATGTCTACAACATTAACTGATTTTTTTTAAAATTAATTTAAACGCATTCATCACTCTGCTCTTTTGGTATTCTTGCTGAAGAGATTCTGCTGACTACAGTTCATGGTAAGTGGGATAGAATGGGGTGGAGAGAAAAAAGACCTGTGGGAGGGGAAATTATGCATGCTCACTTCAATGTGGATGTTCGTTTGTTTTGTGCATAAAGTTACATAACAAAGATGTGAATGGGCTAAAAAAATGGTGTGGTTATAATAACGAGTAACTGGTTATGCTTGTTCAAAAAAAATGCAGTAACTTTGTTGTAAGAGTTGCCAAAAACAGTCGAATTGAACATTTTTAATAATGCAAGCTGTCATTAACATTAATGGCAGCATTAAAGAATGAACAAACAAGGCTCATGTTAATGGTTGAACAGATTTGAACAAAGTGGCGGATGGGTTAGAAATAATATAATAAGCAACGTTTTACTATTTAAAAACGTATGTTAAAAGAAAACCGCTCTTGAGAGGAAAACGTACGGACTTTTTTCACTGATGCACATTTCCTGTTCCCTAGCAACAAAAGCAGGAAGTGAGTCGAGAGTGGGATGGGGGAAAGACAATTGTTAGAAAAGGGGGGACGAACACGCCCGTCCTGAAACTAAAATAAAGTGGACGGAGTGCCAACATTACAT